TATTATTAGAGCCTGACTATTTTAATACTGCAAACTGATTTATATGTCTAGAGCGCCCTTCTGCCTAAGGCCCATCTTGCATATATATTTCTCTTTATTTCCTAATTCATGCAAATGCTTTTAGTTTTCGCTAAAAATGGTGGGAATATCTGTCACCACTGAACCACTGCTTCACTAAAAGACAGGAAGTGAGGAATGAAGTCTCAGGAGCCAGGGGCTTGCTTTGGTCAGAAGCAGGAATAAGGACATGGATGGAAGCTGGGAATGCCCTTTTGTTGAGTGACTCTGCCTAATAAAGAGCTGGCACATGTTGCATTTCCCAGTGGTAACAGGACTGAGTTTTGGTATTTAATTTCCTTCAGATTCTCTTCAGATAGCGTGACTAATACGTTTTCTATATTCATGATCATTTTTAATATAGTTTCTTTAAAATTGGTTTCTGTTGCTGGTTTGGATGTAAACAGTTTATGGAGAGCTGTTTACCTAAGCATGTCTTGTTATTAAGTCTCTTTATTAACACATGCCATGCAACTCAGATGTGCTGATTTAATGGCTAAAAGTATGCTAATTCACACAGCATTGTCATGAGTAAATGTCTGTAAAAAAATATCTGCAATGAATATTATAAATTCATTTTTAAATGAATGCATTCGAAGTAAGAAGAAACAGTCAACTGAATTAAGGTGAAAATTCACTTCTGAAGTAACTCTTTGAAATTCAAAACTTGCACTAATTTTTTGTGGTCTAGAAAAAGCATTGAAAAGCAGCTCAGTAGAGGTGGAGGGAAGGGTAGGAGGGAAGGGTATGACTATCTTTGTTGCCACTATTATCTAGCTGAAAGTGAATTTTTTACAGGTGAAATAAATTCAGAAGCCTACGTAAAGCATTGTTGGCTCTGGAGTATGGTATATTAATGGATATAGCTGGTATCTATGCTCGACGTAGATAAATCAGTGGCTAACATTTATAAAGGCCTAAAAGGTTAAGAGCTTTGTAAATACAATGAAACTTGTTCTAAATGTCCTCTTAGATGTGACAAAAATGAGTGGCTCTACCAAGGGAGTTTCTTGTACAAAATATTTTTAGAGCACTTGGGAGCAGTGCTTTAGACTAGCATTCCTAGTTCTTCTACTGTGTGGAAATATCTTCTGTAGCTTGTTTTACTGAGACATTCATGAAGGTTGGGAACCACAGCAGCGCAAATGGCTGCTTTAGATATGATACACAAAGCAGTTTTAAGAAAGAATCTGGAGTAATGGAAGAGAACTGAACATTATAATAATGGGAAAGCATAAGAAAGGGCCACTCCTTTATTTATTCATGATCAAGAAAAATTCTGTCAAGCTGTGAATGTTTCGGTATGTCTGCAACTATATGCAAAAGTTTGCACATGAAGGGGAACTGCTGCTGTGGATAAATTAGAAACATTTTTCATTATTCTAGTATCACTGGAAGTAAAAGTGTTAGTACAATAAGTTACCTCAGGATCACTTTATTTCCATTAATGACACAGAAAATACAATTGAAATTATTCATCCAATACTTAGTTTTTTAAAATGAGAGCTTTGAGCTTCTATAGAATACATTTAAATAACCGATTTAGAAAAAGGTGTTCATATTTAAAAAAAAAAAGACCATCTTTTACTATATGCCTATGAAAATTAAGTGTTAAGTAGTCACAGTTCACAGCAGAATCAAACTTCAGTTTTTCTACACAAGCTTGGTATTTGGAACAGATATTTTTTGGTTTTGGTTCTGTACTTTACTTACAGAGGGAGAGGTAATAATTTGTTATAAGTCACACACATAAAAGCAGCTGAGTATTCTTACTGCTTTAAGTTTTTTTCTCATTTAAGACCAATTTGAAATTCTGTCTATTTTTAAGCTACTGTCAACAAATACTAAATAGCCCTATTTTTATGGTCCTGTGGTCAGCACAACACTGACTCACAGAGTAGTCACTGTGACTGATGTTGATAATAAGTAAACAATGTCCACAGTAATAATTGTTTGCAGGGACAAGACTCTTGTATTAGAAATTGTTTGGATTTGTGGTATATATTACATAAGAACAGGTCAGTGAAGCATTTTCTTTTCTTTTTTTAGCAAATAATTCTTCTCATTATCAGGAGACCCCTAGAGTCAAGAAAAACAAGGCTGTAGTAGGAGAGAAGGAATTAAATTTTATCATTGCATACCTGATTGTAAGCTCTACCAGTAAAGGGTCCTGCTAAGGTCTCCAAGAAAATTGAGGGACAATTATGCTTCCTATGCTTTCTCTATCAGCATTTCAGTTCATCATGTAAAAGATGCTTGTGTATATGTGCACTGCCCATCTTGCCCCACACAACCAAATGTTCATTATTTCTGCCTTAATAGTAGTATCGTCAAGATGTTCCAACTATTTGTCATAGCTCAGGTTTCCTACACTGCTGAACATAAGGTATAAGGCATGAGGGGATTTCTCCACCTGAAGCATGTATCTTCTGTACAAAGTTCAAATCTCAACACAACTCTGTGGCAAGCATGGCAGCTGTATGGACTTTTAGAGGTTGATACCACTGTCTCCAAAGTTTTTGTAATTGGTAAAAGGTAAAGCTAGCTGTGCGCATGGGAGATACGACTTCTCCACTGATATTGGCACAATCTTTCAAAACATTTCCATGCCAAATAAACACTTGGAAAAGCTGAAAATTTGTGCTTCATGGAAGACTGAAACCTGCAGAAACACTGGAAAAATCTATTGTTATAAAATTGAAAAGCAAATCCTGATTCCAAAATAAAGAGGTGTCGGTAGCTTGGACCAATACCACCACATAAAATAATGCCAACAGGATAATTGTGTGGTCCTTTTTTGTTTGTTTGTTTTGTAATGGATCTTCAGAGGATTCCAATATTCCTTGAAAGCAATGTAAATTTTCTTGGATAGCTGTAACATTCAGCATGTCATGATCAGTGACTGATGAATGTTGGTCAAGAGTTTGCTTTTAATTCATCTCCTGAGTTTACTGAGCACTGAGAAGCATACCAACTTTTGGAAGTGTGTCTGCAATGCCCACTGTGTTTCAGCAATTAGAAATTCAGCCATTTTTTTTGTTCTTTTTCTGGCAACATCACTTGTTTTGATTTTTTCACTGAATTTGGGACACACGGATTAAATAATGTCTTCTGAAAAAATATTTCCTGACTTAAATTCTTAAAAGTGATTGTCCCATCCCCTACATAATCAAGATCTTGCCAATCTGCTTTCAGTATGGAGACAGTTTGAGTCTGTTACCTGTTTGAAGCAACTTCAGCTGCCATCTTGCACATCCAAAGTGTCTTTACTGAGCACTTCTGGAGTATTTTAGAATGAGGTATGCTCAGATGTTGGTAGTTAATGAACCGCACATAGGTTCTGACTGCAGCTCAGATGGGAGACAGCGACTTACATCCTTATTCCAGAGAAACATAAAATGGGTGGGAACTGGGTCTGCTGTCTCTCCAACAGCTCCCACAGTCATATGAGAGCTGTTTCACTCTTCACAATGTCGAAAGCAAAGATGAAGAGCAGGCAAGAAGGAAAGATTTTCTAGCCTAGTTTTGTCTGCTTTGATTTCCAGCGCCTGATCTACAGTTCTTTAATTGCTGAAAATACTGGAAGCATGAAAAGAAAATCTTGAGTGCCACAAGCCAAAATAGCATATTGTAAGGCAGATGTAAAACACTTCTTGCAGGTGGGAGGGGTGGCTTCAGGTTCTCCGCAACAAGGAAGATCTGACCTAAGTCATCAAGTCCTAGCTGGCTTTTCCACTGAGTGCCCTTTCCTTTGACCAGTTAAGGTGACTCACTCAAATTGCTGCCTCCTCCTCTAGTTCTTTATTTCCTTTGCTTTTTCACATGTCATATCTTATTTTAATATTTCATTCAATGAAATGTTTGTTTGCTTGTTTGTTTTTCCTTTCCACAAATAGTCTAAATAAGTTCATTGTGAGAGAAATAAAACTGAAGTTATTTTTAATTTTCTTGGTCTTGGCAGCCTTTATGTGCACCACTCTTTTTATTAGCTGGCAATTACACTTTTGGCGATGTAGAATTAAGAGCAATTGGATGGGATAGATAAATCATTTTGACCTATATAGAGCTTCCATATATTAAAGACTTCACAGAATGAAAGCAGGGCTGACAAATTATGAGGAAAAACAATTGTGGTATATAAAAGACTTAGAATCTTTTTCCTTATTTTTTTCATCAGGTCTGCAGTTAGTGAAGAAGGCTTGATAGGGGTCTGTAATTGCTTCATTTGTTAAAAGCTGTTGTAAATGATTCTGGCTTTGAGAAAAAATGTCTTGTCAATCTCTTCCTTTGTGTTCCCTCCCTCTGCTTCCATTACCCACTTCAAGGCTTTTACTTTCTCTGCTAGGCAAAGTGCCCAGAAGCCAAAGGAGTTAAGCGGGGCTGCTTAGTTCTGCTTCTAGGCTAGTGTCAATTACAGCTCTGGGAATCAGCCGTTTCTGCTACTAGTCTATGTAATGGTCATGTTCAAAACAGCTTATGTCATCATGTCATCAACTTCATGTCAGAGAGACATGCTTCAAAACAGGTACCGGGACTGAGCACACTGGTTTGCAGTGACAAGCAAATAAGCAGAAGAATAATATCTTAATATCTTTCTGTTTTCTTTTCTGTCTTTCCATGTTATGATTTTTTAGTCAAAATATGTGTGTAGCTTACCTTTGACAAGATTTTTTACTCCTGTGTAAAATACCACCTGTTAGCAATTTATATCTTTGTGACTCACAGTGGAAACCTTGTTATGTATCAAAAGTAACGTAACGTTATGAAAGAAATGAAATACGGTGTTACTTGGTGTGTCTCCATAATATAGAATTTTTCTTAGGGTGTTTTAAAAAATTTCTATGATTTTAAAAGCTTGAAAGTAATATTCTTATGTAGCTTTCTGTTACTTTGGATGATACATATTAAAATGAGCATATATTTATTGTTTTATTTCTTCATAGATATTTCATTGTTCATAACACAGAAGAAGATAGGTATTTCACCATTGATGCTAGTACTGGGACCATTAAGACTGCCAAGATCCTTGACAGAGAGGAGACACCTTGGTACAACATCACAGTGGCTGCTTCTGAGATAGGTAAATAATATATTTGAAACATAATATTAAAAAAAATTAGAAAGGAAAATAATAATTTTCAGATTTTAAGAAACACTATCTTGAGATGTTGTGTTCTTTTTAACACCATGGGGTTTTTAGCCAGTTTGGATAAAGGAGAATTTTCTCTGTGTATAAATTCCCTAATTCCACAGAACAAATAAACAAAACCCTACATGCCTATGTGATTCCTGTGTAAATTTACCATGTTTTTCTGTATGTGATAGAAGGCTGCCAGTTTACCCAGGAACAGTTCCAAGCATTCAGTATCCTAAAATCAACAGCTTGTCCCGTTTGTGTTTCATATTTCTTATATCTTAGAAGATAACACAATATAGTACTGTCTGAGAAATTCATCCTTTCTTCTTGTATCTGCTATTAACCTATTTTAGCGAATTGCGTGTTAAATATGCTGATATTAATTCATATCTGACAGGTGCCTAGTAGTTGCTGATTATCAGGGTATACCTCTGGCCTTTTAATAGGCAAATTGCCAAGTAAAGATACAATAAATACTTGCCTGTGCCTTTGAAAGGCCTCAAGGTCTGACGAAATTCCATTGCCTCCGATAAGCCTTGCAACAGTCAAGAAATGTCTGACTGAGTAGTCCCAGATAAATATCTTTACATGAGGCAAGGACAGTTTAAAGAACATTTCAGTTAACCTTTTTATTACGGGGTATTTATTTTGGCACAGTCAGAGTTTTAAAGTTATAAAACTCAACAAACCAAATGAAAAAAAAAAATCCCCGCCTGGATCAATAGATCCAGTCCTGCTAAGAGCACTTCATGGTACCATCTTTCAGTGGCAGTGATTTTGATCAAAACTGTGAACTAATTTTATGTATATTCCTTTCCTTTTTCTTTTTTTTTCCTTTTTTTTTGGTGTCTTCTATCATTGCCAGATGACACAATAGAGGTTTTATCTGTAACAGGTGCCACTGACATTATTGAGCCCCCTCTGCTTTCATCTGTTTCAACTCTGGGTTAAAATGGAATCCGTTGTGCTGCTGCATCACTAGCACTTGCTACAGAATTAACAGCACATACATATTTTATAAAGACAACAAATTCTTTCTTATTATTGTACCTGCTTTCACAACTAAATTGACATTTTGAACTAAGTAAATTTCTATTGTAAATAGTAAAATCTAGAGTTTTATGGTTAGCCCTTTAAAAAAGGTAACCACTGACACTTCAGTGTGCTTGACAGTGTTTTCGTATATAATGTGAAATGTGCAGCATGAAATAAAATATAATTTAAGCCTAATCATAAGCAGGTGCATAGTAAGTGTTAATTTAAAATAAGATTTAAAAGCCACGTTGAATCATACTGAAAAAAGGAGTAGTCACTAGTCTTTTTGGGAAGCCATCCAAATGTAATTATTTTGCAGAAATAAATCTCAATAGCATTAAACTTAAATGTAGTTTTCTACACATTATTTATTTCACATAGTCAAATGAGTGGTAGTACACGTACTATGATGAGAGAATGGTATGGAGAATGGAGAAGGATTATGTTTATAACTAAAAGAGAATAGAACGAATAATGAGGATGAAATGCCTTTTTTTTTGACAGCCTGCTTAGAATTCTCCATTCCAGGTGCAACTTGTTACAGGAAAACAGAGATTTCTTTTTTTTCTCCCTCGCATTACCTTTCTTACTGTTAAAGTTGGGGTTGGAAAAATAAGTAAATCTATAATGTCAGTTTGAAAAGCGATTTGGTTATGAAAAAAGGAAGAGACAGCAGCGAAGAAGGATGGCAGGCAGACTGACAGACAGCCTAAATGATGGGCAGCCTTTCCTTGTGTCCGCTTCTTTGGCCATTTTCTTACCTACAGTAATTTGAAAATTACAACACTGCTGTACTCTTCCAAATCCATTGTGAAATCAGTAATTGGATCTACGATGGAAGAAGGAGCATATGTTGTGTATACAGCATCAATGGCAAATGTTAAGTGCTATCTATCCCATATTTACAGCCTTTTATGGCATTCACTTTCAAGTCCATGCACAAGGAATTGCAGAACTAAGACTAAAGCTGAAAAATTGGTGGAAGGCTATGGCCAAAATGTTATTTAGCTGTGAGAGTGGCAGTCTTCAAGTTCATCTGACATGATAAAAGGCATTTGTAGCTTCTGACACCATTTGCTTAGCCAGGAACACAGCAGTATCTGCAAGACCAAGAAAGATTGTACTGCTTCAACAATAAGCGGTGCTCTGCTGAAATAATGTTATGGTTATTGTTAGTTTTTTGAAGTGTTTTCTTCTCTTGACTTTACACTACACTTCACTGACAGAGTTCAGTTTCTACTGATCATCCTTTGGGCAGCTATTTGTAGCTGTGCTTGTTTTATGCAAAAGAAATGTAGAATAAACATCATATTTCTACCCTCAAATGTATGATATCCTCATGCTTCAGCCTTATTGTTTCTGAACCTTTCATAAGACATTTACTTCCACTTTTAATCTCAGTATGTGATATACACTCTGCACTGATCAAATGTCCCCTCTGAAATCCGTGGAAGTTCCACCACTTTCCTCTGTGGGAGTAATGTTGATGTAATGATCAGTGTTTTTTTCTGTTTACACAGATACTTCCTAAAGCACACCAGAGTTCATTGCCACGAGAATGGATGAGGCAATCCTTTTTTTCTTCAACATGCACTGTTCTTTAACAGCAGCATACAGTGAGAAAGAGTGGGATTTTAATGGCAAGGGTACACCACTGAAGCTGTTCCTTTGATTGTTTCAGTACTAGTACTTCCTGAAAACTCCTTGTGGTATTAGGGAATAAGAAAGATGATAAAATAATACTATATTTTATATTGAAGGATCTACAGACTATGGGGGAAGGACTACAAATTGATGGTAATAGGATTTTAAAATACAGTTTCACATAGAACTATTCACAATTCATTAGTTTGTTTTAATTCTTTGAAAAAGTTTATAAAAGAGTATTTGAAAGAGGAAGGAGATACAATTTGCTTAGCTCTATTAAAGGCTTTTGACTGTCTTTGGTAAGAGTAATGGAAATAGGAAAATTCAGAGCAAGCGCACAAGTTTTATAACAGATGAAAGACTGATTTGGAGGAAAGAAATACAGTCATAGTGAATGGCTGTTCCTTTGGGAGTGGAAAAAGTTAAGGCTGAGCTATTTTAAGGACTGGTGTAGGATCTGTCAATTAAAATTCTTTGTAATAATAGCACACAATGATAGAAAGTGATTCAGATTCCTGAATAACCTCCATAGCTGCTAAGAATTGAGGAAAATTGAGAGAAACTCATGTAAAAACAAGACACACTGAAGTATGGGCTAGATAAATGAATGGTGAAGTGGACTGAAAATTATCTTAAATGGCAGGCTGAAAGGGTTGTGATCAGCAGCCCAAAATGCAGCTGGAGGCCAGTCACTAGTGGAGTACCCCTGGGGGCTAATACTGGATGCAATACTGTTTAATCTCTTCATTAATGACCTGGTTGGTGGGACAGAGTGCACTCTCAGCCAATTAGCAAATGACACAAAACTGGAGTAATAGCTGATACACCAGAGGGCCATGCTGCCATCCAGAGGGATCTCGGCAGGCTGGAGAAATGGGTGAAGAGGAACCTTGTGAAGTTCAATAATAGGAAATGCAGAGTCCAGCACCTGGAGAGGAATAATGCCATGCACCAGTACACATGCAGGGCCAACTGGCTGGAGAGCAGCTTTTCAAAGAAAGGACGTGGAGGTCCTGGTGGATGCAAGTTGAACATAAGCCAGCAATGTGCTCTTGTGGTAAAGAAGGGCAACTGCATCCTGCACTGCATGAGGAAGAGTGTTGACAGCAGGTTGAGGGAGGTGATCCTTCCCCTCTGCACAGCACTGGTGAGGCCATGTGTGGAATGCTGGGTCCAGATCTGGGCTCCCCAGTACAAGAGAGACATGGAGCAACTGGACTAAGTCCAGTGAAGGGGCATGAAATCATTAAGAACTGGACTATCTGTCGTACGAGGTGAGGCTGAAAGAGCTGGGACTGTTCAGCCTGGAGATGAGAAGGCTCGGAAGGAGCTTATCAGTGTGTTTAAATACCTGATAGGGGGAGCAAAGAAGATGAGTAAAGATGAGCAAAGATGAGGACTCATCTGAGTAGTATCCAGTGAAATGACAGGATGCAATGTGCACAAATTGAAATACAGAAAATTCCATTTAAATATAAGAAGAAAAATATTTTTACTGCAGGATTGGTCAAAAATTGGGACAGGACACCTAGAGAGGTTGTGGAGTCTCCGTTCTTGGAGATATTCAAAATCCAACTGGACATGGCCCAGAGCGATGTGCACTAGTTGACCCAGCTTTGAGCAAGGGAGTGGGACTTGCTGATCTATGGAGGTTCCTTCCAACCTCAAGCATTCTGTGATTTTGTGATATTGGGAACTGTGTGTTGAATGTGGAGAAGAAAAAGGACAACTCACAAATTTCTCCCAAATAGTGATGTATTCTCAAAGAAAATAGGTGGTTGTAAAAATAATTGTGGGTGACTCAATTAAGGTTTCTCTCTAGCATATAGTAGTGCTGACAACAAAAGCAAAAGCAACAATAACAGCAAAACCCCAAATCACAGCCGCTGCAAGAGAAAGGTGGCATTAAAATATAAATGGATGGACTTCTTCCAGTTATAAAGCCAATTTCAGTTAGAAAAATAAACATGTATTTCAAAGTTTTCAAAGCAGTGCTGCAAACAGGACAAATAATAGTACCCTTGAAGTCTTTGTGTTCAGTAAGAAGGAATAAAAGCTGCGGAGAGAAATAAACACTGATGGTTGAAGGAATCAGAGAATATCTTGATTTGAGAATCAAAGTAAGGATTATAGCTTTCACTAGAAATTTGTACTTAGAAATATAGCAAGGAAGACTGTGTCAGGAAACTCCTTTTAGATACTAATTCTAACAACTGAACTGAGTGTGTTCAATATCTGCTCAACTGACACAGAGCAAACCA